GAATTTTTGGGATTTTTTGGGAATTTTTTGAGATTTGGGGGAATTTTTGGGAATTCTTTGGGAATTTGGGAATTCTTTGGGAATTTTGGGGAATTTTTTTGGAATTTTTGGGATTTTTTTTAATTTTTGGGGAATTTTTGGGATTTTTTGGGAATTCTTTGAGATTTGGGGGGAATTTTTGGGAATTCTTTGGGAATTCTTTGGGAATTTTTTTGGATTTTTTCGGAATTTTTTGGATTTTTTTTTTAATTTTTGGGGAATTTTTGGGATTTTTTGGGAATTTTTTGAGATTTGGGGGGGATTTTTGGGAATTCTTTGGGAATTTTTTGGGAATTTTTGGAATTTTTGGGATTTTTTTGGGAATTTTTTTGGAATTTTTTTGAGAATTTTTTGGAAATTTTTTGGATTTTTTTGGAATTTTTTGGGTATTTTTGGGATTTTTTGGGAATTTTTTGAGATTTGGGGGGAATTTTTGGGAATTCTTTGGGAATTCTTTGGGAATTTTTTGGGAATTTTTGGGAATTTTTTTGGGAATTTTTGGGATTTTTTTTTAATTTTTGGGGAATTTTTGGGATTTTTTGGGAATTCTTTGAGATTTGGGGGAATTTTTGGGAATTCTTTGGGAATTCGTTGGGAATTTTTTTGGAATTTTTGGGAATTTTTGGGAATTCTTTGGGAATTTTTGGGATTTTTTTGAGAATTTTTGGGATTTTTTGGGAATTTTTTTGGATTTTTTTTTTAAATTTTTGGGGAATTTTTGGGATTTTTTGGGAATTTTTTGAGATTTGGGGGGAATTTCTGGGAATTCTTTGGGAATTCTTTGGGAATTTTTTGGGAATTTTTGGGATTTTTTTGGGGATTTTTTTGGGAATTTTTGGGATTTTTTTTAATTTTTGGGGAATTTTTGGGATTTTTTGGGAATTTTTTGAGATTTGGGGGGAATTTCTGGGAATTCTTTGGGAATTCTTTGGGAATTTTTTTGGAATTTTTGGGATTTTTTTTGAGGATTTTTTGGGAATTTTTTGGATTTTTTTTGGAATTTTTTGGATTTTTTTGGAATTTTTGGGGAATGCTTTGAGATTTGGGGAGGAATTTTGGGGAATTTTTGGGATTTTGGGGATTTCTTTGTGGATTTTGGGGATTTTTTTGAGAATTTTTGGGGGTTTTTTTGGGAATTCTTTGGGATTTTGGGGGATTTATTGGGAATTTTGGGAATTCTTTGGAAAGTTTGGGGAATTTTTTTGGAATTTTTAGGATTTTTTTTATTTTGGGGGGATTTTTTTGGAATTTTTTTGGAATTTTTTGGATTTTTTTGGTGGATTTTGGGAATTCTTTGAGATTTGGGGGGAATTTTTGGGAATTCTTTGGGAATTTGGGAATTCTTTGGGATCTTTGGGGATTTTTTTTAATTTTTAGGATTTTTTTGAGAATTTTTTTGGAATTTTTTTGGAATTTCTGGTATTTTTTTATTTTGGGGAATTTTTTTGGATTTTTTTGGAATTTTTGGGAATTTTGGGGATTTTTTTTAATTTTTTGGGAATTTTTGGGATTTTTTTAATTTTTTGGGAATTCTTTGAGATTTGGGGGGGAATTTTCGGGAATTCTTTGGGAATTTTGGGAATTCTTTGGGAATTTTTTGGGAATTCTTTGGGAATTTTTGAGGATTTTGGGAATTCTTTGGGAATTTCAGGGATTTCTTTGCGGATTTTGGGAATTCTTTGGGATTTCAAGTGCTATTTCGGGAATCCTTTGGGGATGTTTTTGGGGGATTTTTTTGGGAATTCTTTGGGAATTTTGGGGAATCCTTTGGGAATTTTTGGGATTTCTTTGTGGATTTTGGGAATTCTTTGAGATTTGGGGGGAATTTTTGGGAATTCTTTGGGAATTTTGGGAATTCTTTGGGAATTTTGGGAATTTTTTGAGAATTTTTTGGGAATTTTTTGGGGAATTTTTGGGATTTTTTTTTAATTTTGGGGGGATTTTTTTTTAATTTTTGGGGATTCTTTGGGGTTTTTTGGGATTTCTTTGGGAATTTTGGGAATTCTTTGAGATTTGGGGGGAATTTTTGGGAATTCTTTGGGATTTTTGGGAATTCTTTGGGAGTTTTTGGGATTTTTTGAGAATTTTGGGGGAATTTTGGGGATTTTTTTTTATTTTTGGGGGGATTTTTTGGGGAATTTTTGGGATTTCTTTGTGGATTTTGGGAATTCCTTGGGATTTTGGGAATTCTTTGGGAATTTTTGGGAATTCTTTGGGAATTTTGGGGAATTCTTTGGGATTTGGGGGGAATTTTTGGGAATTTTTGGGATTTTTTGGGAATTCTTTGAGATTTGGGGGGAATTTTTGGGAATTCTTTGGGAATTCTTTGGGAATTTTTTTGGAATTTTTGGGATTTTTTTTGGGAATTTTTGGGATTTTTTTGAGAATTTTTTGGGAATTTTTTGGATTTTTTTTGAATTTTTTGGGAATTTTTGGGATTTTTTGGGAATTTTTTGAGATTTGGGGGAATTTTTGGGAATTCTTTGGGAATTCTTTGGGATTTTTTGAGAATTTTTGGGATTTTTTGGGGGGAATTTTTTTGGGGATTTTTTGGATTTTTTTGGGAATTTTTGGGATTTTTTTGGAATTTTTGGGGAATTTTTTGGGAATGCTTTGAGATTTGGGGGGAATTTTTGGGAATTCTTTGGGAATTTGGGAATTCTTTGGGAATTTTTGGGATTTTTTTGGGAATTTTTGGGATTTTTTTGAGAGTTTTTTTGGAATTTTTGGGATTTTTTGGGAATTTTTTGAGATTTGGGGGAATTTCTGGGAATTCTTTGGGAATTCTTTGGGATTTTTTGGGAATTTTTGGGATTTTTTTTGAGAATTTTTTGGGAATTTTTTTGGATTTTTTTTGGAATTTTTGGGATTTTTTGGGAATTTTTGGGGAATTTTTTGGGAATGCTTTGAGATTTGGGGGGAATTTTTGGGAATTCTTTGGGATTTTGGGAATTCTTTGGGAATTTTGGGGATTTTTTTTGGGAATTTTTGGGATTTTTTTTAATTTTTGGGGAATTTTTGGGATTTTTTGGGAATTCTTTGAGATTTGGGGGAATTTTGGGGAATTCTTTGAGAATTCTTTGGGAATTTTTTTGGAATTTTTGGGAATTTTTGGGAATTCTTTGGGAATTCTTTGGGATTTTTTTGAGAATTTTTGGGATTTTTTTGGATTTTTTTGGAATTTTTTTGGATTTTTTTTTTAATTTTTGGGGAATTTTTGGGATTTTTTGGGAATTCTTTGAGATTTGGGGAATTTTTGGGAATTCTTTGGGAATTTTTTTGGAATTTTTGGGATTTTTTTGAGAATTTTTTGGGAATTTTGGGAATTTTTCTTTTATTTTGGGGGGATTTTTTTTACATTTTTTGGGAATTTTTTGGATTTTTTTTGTGGATTTTGGGAATTCTTTGAGATTTGGGGAATTTTTGGGAATTCTTTGGGAATTTTGGGGAATTCTTTAGGAATTTTTGGGAATTTTTTGAGAATTTTTTGGGAATTTTTTTGGGAATTTTTGGGATTTTTTTTTAATTTTTGGGGATTCTTTGGGGTTTTTTGGGATTTCTTTGGGAATTTTGGGAATTCTTTGAGATTTGGGGGGAATTTTTGGGAATTCTTTGGGATTTTTGGGAATTCTTTGGGAATTTTTGAGGATTTTGAGAATTCTTTGGGAATTTTGGGGATTTCTTTGTGGATTTTTGGAATTCTCTGAGATTTGGGGGGGAATTTTTGGGAATTCTTTGGGAATTTTTTTGATTTTTTATTTTGGGGGGATTTTTTTTGGGAATTCTTTGGGAATTTTTGGGATTTTTTTGAGAATTTTTGGGGAATTTTGGGGATTTTTTTTATTTTGGGGGATTTTTTTGGATTTTTTTTTTAATTTTTGGGAATTTTTGGGATTTTTTGGGATTTTTTTGGGAATTTTTGGGATTTTTTGGGAATTCTTTGAGATTTGGGGGGGAATTTTTGGGAATTCTTTGGGAATTTTTTAGACTTTTTGAGAATTTTGGGGATTTTTTTTTTATTTTTGGGGAATTTTTGGGGAATTTTTGGGAATTCTTTGTGGATTTGGGGAATTCTTTGGGAATTTTTTGGATTTTTTTTCATTTCGGGGGGATTTTTTTGGGGGGATTTTTTGGGAATTCTTTGGGAATTTTTGGGAATTTTGGGAATTCTTTGGGAATTTTGGGGATTTCTTTGTGGATTTTGGGAATTCTTTGAGATTTGGGGGGAATTTTTGGGAATTCTTTGGGATTTTTGGGAATTCTTTGGGATTTTTTGGGATTTTTTGAGAATTTTTGGGGAATTTTGGGGATTTTTTTTTATTTGGGGGGGATTTTTTGGGGAATTTTTGGGATTTCTTTGTGGATTTTGGGAATTCTTTGGGATTTTGGGAATTCTTTGGGAATTTTTGGGAATTCTTTGGGAATTTTGGGGAATTCTTTGGGATTTGGGGGGAATTTTTGGGAATTCTTTGGGATTTCTTTGGGAATTTTGGGGAATTCCTTGGGATTTTGGGAATTCTTTGGGAATTTTTGGGATTTCTTTGCGGATTTTGGGAATTCTTTGGGATTTCTTTGGGATTTTGGGGAATTCTTTGGGAATTTTTGGGAATTCTTTGGGAATTTTTGGGATTTTTTTTCATTTCGGGGGGATTTTATGGGGGGATTTTTTGGGAATTCTTTGGGAATTTTTGGGAATTTTTGGGGAATTTTTGAGGATTTTGGGAATTCTTTGGGAATTTTGGGGATTTCTTTGTGGATTTTGGGAATTCTTTGAGATTTGGGGGGGAATTTTTGGGAATTCTTTGGGATTTTTGGGAATTCTTTGGGATTTTTGAGAATTTTTGGGGAATTTTTTGGATTTTTTTATTTTCGGGGGGATTTTTTGGGGGGAATTTTTGGGATTTCTTTGGGATTTCTTTGGGAATTCCCTCTGGAATTCCCCATTCCCGTTTTTCCGGCAGACGAGGATCGTTTATCCAAGAGGAAAAGCATCGGCGAGACGATTTCCCTGCAGGTGGAGGTGGAATCCCGGAACAGCCCGGAGCGGGAGCAGGTCCGGAATCCCAAATCCCGCAATTCCCTCGGGAAAAAATCCCCGGATGGAATTCCCCGGAATTCCCCCAAATTCCCCCAAATTCCCCCGAATTCCCCCAAATTCCCTGGAATTCCGGCTTTTTCCCGCTCGGAAAAGGTTGGGAATCTCCTCAAATCCCGCCGGAATTCCCGATTTTCCCTGGATTTTTGTTCCTTTTGGGAATCTCCGCAGCGGAATTTCCCACCGGGGGAAAAAATTCCCGGTTTTCTTTTTTTTTTTTGGGAAAAAATCCAGGTTTTTTGGGAAAAATCCCATTTTTTTGAGAAAATATCCCGGTTTTTTGGCAAGTATCCCATTTTTTTGGAGAAAGATCCCAGTTTTTGGCAAAGATCCCATTTTTTTGGGAAAAGATTCCATTTTTTTGGGAAAAATCCCATTTTTTGGGAAAAAAATCCCGGTTTTTTGGGAAAAGATCACTTTTTTTGCGGAAAGATCCCCGTTTTTGGGAAAAGATCCCGGTTTTTTGAGAAAAGATCCCGGATTTTTTTGTAAAAATCCCATTTTTTTGGGAAAATATCCCGGTTTTTTGGGAAGAGATGCCGATTTTTGGAAAGAGATCCCGGGTTTTGGGGAAAAGTCCCATTTTTTTGGGAAAAAATCCTGGTTTTTGGGAAAAGATATCGGTTTTTTGGGGAAAAATTCCATTTTTTTGGGAAAAGATCCCGGTTTTTTGGGAAAAGATCCCAGTTTTTTGGGAAGAGATGCCAATTTTTGGGAAGAGATCTCTTTTTTTGGGAAAAAATCCCGGTTTTTTGGAAAAAATACCATTTTTTTTGGAAAAATACCATTTTTTTGGAAAAAATCCCGGTTTTTTGGGAAAAGATCCCATTTTTTTGGCAAATATCCCATTTTTTTGGGAAAAAATCCCGTTTTTTTTGGTTTTTTTTAATCCCAGCTCGGGCTGAGATTCCCGACCGGAATTCCGGCTTTTTCCCGCTCGGAAAAGGTTGGGAATCTCCTCAAATCCCGCCGGAATTCCCGATTTTCCCTGGATTTTTGTTCCTTTTGGGAATCTCCGCAGCGGAATTTCCCACCGGGGGAAAAAATTCCCGGTTTTCTTTTTTTTTTTTGGGAAAAAATCCAGGTTTTTTGGGAAAAATCCCATTTTTTTGAGAAAATATCCCGGTTTTTTGGCAAGTATCCCATTTTTTTGGAGAAAGATCCCAGTTTTTGGCAAAGATCCCATTTTTTTGGGAAAAGATTCCATTTTTTTGGGAAAAATCCCATTTTTTGGGAAAAAAATCCCGGTTTTTTGGGAAAAGATCACTTTTTTTGCGGAAAGATCCCCGTTTTTGGGAAAAGATCCCGGTTTTTTGAGAAAAGATCCCGGATTTTTTTGTAAAAATCCCATTTTTTTGGGAAAATATCCCGGTTTTTTGGGAAGAGATGCCGATTTTTGGAAAGAGATCCCGGGTTTTGGGGAAAAGTCCCATTTTTTTGGGAAAAAATCCTGGTTTTTGGGAAAAGATATCGGTTTTTTGGGGAAAAATTCCATTTTTTTTGGAAAAGATCCCGGTTTTTTGGGAAAAGATCCCAGTTTTTTGGGAAGAGATGCCAATTTTTGGGAAGAGATCTCTTTTTTTGGGAAAAAATCCCGGTTTTTTGGAAAAAATACCATTTTTTTTGGAAAAATACCATTTTTTTGGAAAAAATCCCGGTTTTTTGGGAAAAGATCCCATTTTTTTGGCAAATATCCCATTTTTTTGGGAAAAAATCCCGTTTTTTTTGGTTTTTTTTAATCCCAGCTCGGGCTGAGATTCCCGACCGGAATTCCGGCTTTTTCCCGCTCGGAAAAGGTTGGGAATCTCCTCAAATCCCGCCGGAATTCCCGATTTTCCCTGGATTTTTGTTCCTTTTGGGAATCTCCGCAGCGGAATTGCCCACCGGGGGAAAAAATTCCCGGTTTTCCTTTTTATTTTTGGGGAAAGATCCCGGATTTTTTGGGAAAAATCCCATTTTTTTGGGAAAAATCCCATTTTTTGGGAAAAGATCCCGTTTTTTGCAAACAGATCCCAGTTTTTGGGGAAAAAAATGCCATTTTTTTGGAAAAAAATCCCGTTTTTTTGGGGAAAGATCCCGGGTTTTGGGAAAAGATCCCTTTTTTTTTGGAAAATATCCCATTTTTTGGGAAAAGATCCCATTTTTTGGGAAAAAATTCCATTTTTGGGGGGAAAAGATCCCATTTTTTGGGAAAAGATCCCGGTTTTTTTTTGGAAAAATCCCATTTTTTGGGAAAAAAATCCCGTTTTTTTGGGAAAAGATCCCTTTTTTTTGGAAAAAATCCCATTTTTTGGGAAAAATCCCATTATTTTGGGAAAAGATCCCAGTTTTTGGGAAAAAATCCCGGTTTTCTGGGAAAAAAAATCCCTTTTTTTTTTTTGGCAAAGATCCCATTTTTTGGGAAAAGATCCCAGTTTTTGGGGAAAAATCCCATTTTTGGGGAAAATATCCTGGTTTTTGGGAAAAGATCCCGGTTTTTTGGGAAAGATCCCATTTTTTTGGGAAAATATCCCGTTTTTTTGGGAAAGATGCCGGTTTTGGGAAGAGATCCTGGTTTTTTGGGAAAAGTCCCATTTTTTGGGAAAAAATCCTGGTTTTTGGGAAAAGATATCGGTTTTTTGGGGAAAAATTCCATTTTTTTGGGAAAAGATCCCGGTTTTTTGGGAAAAGATCCCAGTTTTTTGGGAAATATCCCATTTTTTTGGGAAAAAATCCCGGTTTTTTTTGGTTTTTTTTAATCCCAGCTCGGGCTGAGATTCCCGACCGGAATTCCGGCTTTTTCCCGCTCGGAAAAGGTTGGGAATCTCCTCAAATCCCGCCGGAATTCCCGATTTTCCCTGGATTTTTGTTCCTTTTGGGAATCTCCGGAGCGGAATTTCCCACCGGGGGAAAAAATTCCCGGTTTTCCTTTTTATTTTGGGAAAAAATCCCGGATTTTTTTGGAAAAATCCCATTTTTTTTGGAAAAATCCCATTTTTTGGGAAAAGATCCCGTTTTTTGCAAACAGATCCCAGTTTTTGGGGAAAAAAATGCCATTTTTTTGGAAAAAAATCCCGTTTTTTTGGGGAAAGATCCCGGGTTTTGGGAAAAGATCCCTTTTTTTTGGAAAATATCCCATTTTTTGAGGGAAAAGATCCCATTTTTTGGGAAAAGATCCCGGTTTTTTTTTGGAAAAATCCCATTTTTTGGGAAAAAAATCCCGTTTTTTGGGAAAAGATCCCTTTTTTTTGGAAAAAATCCCATTTTTTGGGAAAAATCCCATTATTTTGGGAAAAAATCCCGTTTTTTGGGAAAAATCCCATTTTTTTCGGAAAAGATCCCATTTTTTGGGAAAATATCCCAGATTTTTTGGGAAAAAATCCCTTTTTTTGGAAAGAGATCCCAATTTCTTGGAAGAGATCCCGGGTTTTTTGGGAAAAAATCCCATTTTTGGGGAAAAAATCCTGGTTTTTGGGAAAAGATCCCGGTTATTTGGGAAGAGATCCCATTTTTTTGGGAAAAGACCCCGTTTTTTTGGGACAAGATCCCAGGTTTTGGGAAAAGATCCCATTTTTTTTGGGAAAAAATCCCATTTTTTGGGAAAAAAATTCCGGTTTTTTGAGACAAGATCCCATTTTTTGGGAAAAGATCCCGGGTTTTGGGAAAAATCCCATTTTTTGGGAAAAAATCCTGGTTTTTGGGAAAAGATATTGTTTTTTTGGGGAAAAATCCCACTTTTTGGGAAAAATCCCGGTTTTTTGAGAAAAGATCCCGGGTTTTGGGAAAAAATCCCGTTTTTTGGGAAAAATCCCGGTTTTTTGAGAAAAGATCCCGGGTTTTGGGAAAAAATCCCGTTTTTTGGGAAAAGATCCCATTTTTTGGGAAAAAATCCCTTTTTTTTGGGAAAAATCCCATTTTTTTCAGAAAAAATCCCGTTTTTTTGGTAAAAATCCCATTTTTTTTGGAAAAGATCCCATTTTTTGGGAAAAGATCCCAGTTTTTTTGGGAAAAAATCCCTTTTTTTGGAAAGAGATCCCAATTTCTGGGAAGAGATCCCGGGTTTTTGGGAAAAATCCCATTTTTGGGGAAAATATCCTGGTTTTTGGGAAAAGATCCCGGTTATTTGTGAAGAGATCCCATTTTTTTGGGAAAAGATCCCGTTTTTTTGGGACAAGATCCCGGGTTTTGGGAAAAGATCCCATTTTTTGGGAAAATATATCGGTTTTTTGGGGGAAAAGATCCCATTTTTGGGAAAGATCCCAGTTTTTGGGAAAAGATCCCAGGTTTTGGGAAAAAGTCCCATTTTTGGGGAAAAAAATGCCATTTTTTTGGAAAAAAATCCCGTTTTTTTGGGGAAAGATCCCGGGTTTTGGGAAAAGATCCCTTTTTTTTTGGAAAATATCCCATTTTTTGGGAAAAGATCCCATTTTTTGGGAAAAAATTCCATTTTTGGGGGGAAAAGATCCCATTTTTTGGGAAAAGATCCCGGTTTTTTTTTGGAAAAATCCCATTTTTTGGGAAAAAAATCCCGTTTTTTTGGGAAAAGATCCCTTTTTTTTGGAAAAAATCCCATTTTTTGGGAAAAATCCCATTATTTTGGGAAAAGATCCCAGTTTTTGGGAAAAAATCCCGGTTTTCTGGGAAAAAAAATCCCTTTTTTTTTTTTGGCAAAGATCCCATTTTTTGGGAAAAGATCCCAGTTTTTGGGGAAAAATCCCATTTTTGGGGAAAATATCCTGGTTTTTGGGAAAAGATCCCGGTTATTTGGGAAGAGATCCCATTTTTTTGGGAAAAGACCCCATTTTTTTGGGACAAGATCCCGGGTTTTGGGAAAAGATCCTGGTTTTTTGGGAAAAGAGCCCATTTTTTGGGAAAAAATCCCGGGTTTTGGGAAAAATCCCATTTTTTGGGAAAAAAAATCCCATTTTTTTGGGAAAAAATCCCTTTTTTTGGGAAAAGATCCCGGTTTTTTGGAAAAAATCCCATTTTTTTTGGAAAAATCCCATTTTTTGGGACAAGATCCCAGGTTTTGGGAAAAAATCCCGTTTTCTGGGGGAAAAATCCCATTTTTTTTGGAAAAGATCCCATTTTTTTGGGGAAAAAATCCCTTTTTTTGTGAAGAGATCCCGTTTGTTTGGGAAAAGATCCCATTTTTTGGGGAAAGATCCTGGGTTTTGGGAAAAAATCCCATTTTTTGGGAAAATATATCGGTTTTTTGGGGGAAAAGATCCCGGATTTTTGGGAAAGATCCCAGTTTTTGGGAAAAGATCCCAGGTTTTGGGAAAAGATCATGGTTTTTTGGGAAAAGATCCCATTTTTTGGGGAAAGATCCCGGGTTTTGGGAAAAAATCCCATTTTTTGGGAAAAGATCCCATTTTTTTGGGAAAAAATCCCAGTTTTTTGGGAAAAAATCCTTGTTTTTGGGAAAAAATCCCGTTTTTTTGGGAAAAGATCCCATTTTTTGGAAAAAATCCTGGTTTTTCAGGAAAAGATCCCATTTTTGGGAAAAGATCCCGGTTTTTTTGGGGAAAAATCCCAATTTTTTGGGGAAAAGATCCCATTTTTTTGGGAAAAAATCCTGGTTTTTGGGAAAAGATATTGGTTTTTTGGGGAAAAATCCCTTTTTTTGGGAAAAATCCCGGTTTTTTGAGAAAAGATCCCAGGTTTTGGGAAAAGATCTCGGTTTTTGGGAAAAAAATCCCGGTTTTTTGGGGAAAAATCCCATTTTTTGGGAAAAGATCCCATTTTTGGGAAAAGATCCTGGGTTTTTTGAGAAAAGATCCCGGGTTTTGGGAAAAGATCTCGGTTTTTTTGGAAAAAATCCCTTTTTTTTGGGGAAAGATCCCATTTTTTGGGAAAAAATCCCGGTTTTTGGGAAAAGATCCCAGGTTTTTTTGGAAAAAATCCCATTTTTTTTGGAAAAATCCCATTTTTTGGGAAAAAATCCTGGTTTTTTGGGAAAAGATCCCAGTTTTTTTGGGATAAAATCCCGGGGTTTTTTTGGGGTTTTTTTTTAATCCCAGCTCGGGCTGAGATTCCCGACCGGAATTCCGGGATTTTCCGGGAATCTCATCCCAGTTTTCCCTCCTCACAGAGAGCTCCGGCGGAGGAGATCACCTACGAGACGCTGAAAAAGGCCATCGGTAAGGGCGGGAATTCCGGGAATTCCGGGAATTCCGGGAATTCCGGGAGCTCGGGAAAGGCCGAGCATTCCCAGGAATTCCCACCCCAATTCCCGGAATTCCCGGAGTTGGGATTGGGGTGGTTTTTTTTTTTCCCTCTGGAATTCCGGGAATGGGAGAATTTGGAAAATGATTCCCAAAATTTCCCTTCCCCTCCCCCCTCCCCTCGGAATCATCCGGAATTTTCTTGGAAAATTCCTGGAAATCCTGAAAAATTCCAGGAAAAATCCCTCGGGATCCGGAATTCCCACTTTTCCAAGCCCTTCCCGAAATCCATTCCCGAAATCTCCCCGTGGGGACGGATCCAGCCCCAGATCCCCATCCCGGAATTCCGGGAATTCCCTTGGGAATTCCTGGAGCTGGGAACTGGGAATGGGGGTGGGGCTTTTTCCTGGAATTCCCGGAGCTGGGAGCCAGGATTGGGGCGGGATTTCCCCCCCAGAATTCCTGGAATTCCCAGCACTGGGATGGGATTTTCCCTCTGGAATTCTGGGAATTCCCAGAGCCGGGAGCCAGGACTGGGATGGGATTTTCCCTTTGGAATTCCCGGAGCTAGGAGCCAGGACTGGGATGGGATTTCCCCTTTGGAATTCTGGGAATTCCCGGAGCTGGGAGCTGGGAT